CACGCGGAAGAGGTAGTATTGAGAATGGTGGGATTAGGATTGTTGCGCGCAGGTGCGGGCGGGGGCACGCGCCGCTGGCGCCGGGCGAGGTGGCGGCGGCGCGGCGCGCGGTGCGCTGGCGATGCGCGCGCGCCGCGGCGCTGCTGGCGGTGTGGGCTCTGGCGGCGGCGGCATTGGCGCTGGCGGCGCGCGCGCTGGCGACTGCACCGTGCGCGCCGCGCGGCCCCACGCCCCCGGTGCCGCCCGCGCTGGTCTCGCTCGCTCCGCTCATGGCCAGCGTGCGCGACCAACACAAGCAATACGTCTTATAGCTTTATTACATATTTTCACTATTTCTCACTGGATGTGTTCAATGAGTATAAGTTTGTGTATCTTGTTGTCCCCGTGCCGGTGCTACGTTATTCTTTTAGCATTATTTTGTTGAGATAACCAAACGGAAACATGAATGTACTGATTTTCTAATATATATCTATTGCATGATTCGTATTTGTAATTGTAGCCAGGGGCTGGCAGGCTGGCAGGCTGGCAGGCTGGCAGGCTGGCAGGCTGTCATGGCATGAGCGAACTCGCTCATTACATTATATACTCACTAAAAGAAAAAAAAATGCAATAATATAAGTGCCCGAGGCGAGCACGGCCATACGCTGATTTCTCGAAGCGCTATAGGGCGATTTTAACACCCTTGTAACTTCGTCGTGGATAAAGGTTAAAATTTTAAACATCATTAGATTTACCAGAATTCGTTGTATTGCCAAAACATATTTATAATTATAATTTAATATTTATAATTTTACAAATTTTAGCTAGTTAAAATCTTCACTTTGTTACACTAATGCGCGTTTAATCATAATTAGACATTTCCAATGGTGCTAACAACTTGAATTTTAGAATTGAGTCAGCGCTCTGTCTTTCGATTTAGGGGAAAATGAAAAATCTCGAAATTTGATACTTTAACACTAGGTTTACGGGACCCGTCAATTTGACGGATTTCAAACTTTGAAATGAAACACGCAAAAAACCATAGCATTAATCTTAACTATTTTGCATCGTAAATTTATAATTTCATTTAAAGAGTTTATACGCACAATTATTATTTTCCTAAGCTTTATAAATTTTGAAAATTGTACCTTGTATATCTATTTCTACGGAACCTGTCAATTTGACGGGTTAGCTGATTGCGTCAACAATCCTTATATATTTGCTTCGCTTGTAAAATTATACCTCCAATAGCAAATATAAGACTGAAAGAAAGGTCTAAGACCCCCCCCAACTCATAATCTCAATAGCGCCTCGATAACGAATTGTGTAGCCCGGGTGTCAAATCCTCGCGTTATTCGAAACTCAAAGCGTGCAGCAGACTAAATGTCGTATCGAAAAGATATTCAGTGGTGCAAACATAAACAACACACACAAAGAACTTTCACAGCCTGCGGTAGCCGACGTTAGGCTGCGATATGAATCTGCGATAATCCCTGCTGATAATGATAATCTGAAAATATCCAGAAAGGAGTTTATATTTTCTTTAGCCGATGAATTAGCTGGAAAAAACAAGGAGAACGTTCGTCACAGTTCAGACGTTTCAGATCGGCCACCTTCAACATCGGGAGTGCGAAAAAGTTGCCATGTGGGCTACTGTAATAAAAATAGAAGCAGTAATTGCTGTATGTATTGTAAAAATATCGTATGCGGGAAATGCACAAAAGAAATTCAATACGTATGTAAAAAATGTCCTCGATAAATATGATTATGTAGCCTTTATATTATTGTTATCATTTTCGTAATAACTTAACAAAAAATTTGACTTATTAGTATTTTATTTTTACGTGACGCCTTATATTGTTAAACTCAGATTTAGTTTGAATAAATTGATTTTTTAAAAATAAATACGTATTTTCATCCACCCGTCAATTTGACGGATGCTCGTAGAGATAGGTATATAAGAAACGCCCGTAAACCTAGTGTTAAGAAATATATTGTCATTGACATTATATCAAAACTTTCTTATAAATAAAGATAGACGTTTTAAATTATTAACATAAATAGATATCATACTTTTTTATAAACCTAAAATATTTTACAATTATAGTTCGTAGTTTATGAAATATCGTTATTTGAATTCTTCACATTTTACACAAACGCACGTGTAATCATAATTTTAAGGTACTTCTAGCAATCCCACAAACTTGAAATTGTGAACATAGTTGGAAGTCAACACATTATTAAAGGAAAAACACCAAATGGAACAAAATTGTTTGGACGCTAACGTCGACAGCTGCTGCCAATTCAGCCGTAGATTGTGTATCGTCAGCTTCCACAATCGCTATCAATTCATCATTGTCGACCAAAGTCTTCAGACGACCGCGACATTCATTTTTCAACAAATCAATAACAGGAGGTGCGTTGGTTAGTAGTGTTAGTTCCGTAAACTTCGTTGATGTTGCGTGCCGCTTGTGCCGCGATGCTTCCACGATACTCAAATTCCATAATTACTCGAATTTTTAACGTATCCATGATGACGAATAACATTGAAATGTGATATAAATGGTAACACTAATCAATAAACAAATGACCAATTTAAAAAAGAATTCTATGTTTTTAAAATTAGAATTCTCAGTCAAACAAAATATATTTTGATTTGAAGTGATCAGTACCTAATACCTAGTGTAGAACGGTTATTTCATTGGTATTATTACAAGTATTCTGTACCTGTCTATTTAAGTATGACTACTTACCTATTAAGTATTAGTACCTGTTTGTCTCCTACAAACAAAACTTCGTTCAAAAATTGAACGACTCAAAACCAACGCAACCAAAGACTTGTATAAGACACAACGACAACAATGACAGAGAACGCAATGACATCGACCAAACACCGTAGACGGCATTTTTTTTTTTTTTTGGGACTGAATG